GTGTGTGTGTGTGTGTGTGTGTGTGTGTGTGTGTGTGTGTGTGTGTGTGTGTGTGAGAGAGAGAGAGAGAGAGAGAGAGAGAGAGAGAGAGAGATTGTCTTCTTCAAACAGAATCTGCCACATTTGCTGGGGTTTTTTTTCATTTTAAAATTAGACTATCAGCTTCCCACAATTGTGACAAGCTGAAGATGTAACCATGGAATCCTAGAAGTTGCCTGCAAATTGCTTAGAATGGTTGCATTTTTGTTTTTCCTCTGGCAATTATTGAACATCAGCATCTGGGCCTCATTTGGCAAGGCTCTGTAATGAGCTGACAAAATCTGACCTCCCAATGGGGCTGTGGCTAGAGGGGCACACGAGAGTCAGCACAGAGAAGGAGGTGACCTTCAGTCTTGTTAGGGGGGGCAGAGGGGGCCCTTGGGCTTGTCTCTGGCTCTTACCTTGTTCAACTCACAGGCAGATTGTAAGCACAAAATGAGCTCCTTGTCCAGGTTAGAAATGTCACAAATAATTCATATTCTTATTTCATAGACAGGCTGCCCCATAATTTGAAGTCAGAAAATCAATAGACAATAGGAGGTTCCCGGAGATCAGCTGCCATGCCACCCCTGGCGGACAGTTAACTAGCCCCTTTTCCAGCCCCTCCATACAGAAGAATTTGGTTCCCCTTGCCTATTCCTCTGCTGCCTTGTCACTTAAGCTTTCTTGCCTTCTGCTCTGGAATGATTGGCCTAAGGCCCCTTCAGATGTTGAAAGACAGCTGTACTACAGCCGTACTGTCTCCCAGTCCCCCTTTCTTGACACTAAACATAGCAAACACATCCAATTGTTCCCTTTAGTCCTTTCCTACCAGGATGTTTGTCATTTTGGTTGCTTCTTGGACTGTTTTGATTCTGGTGCCTAGAATTGGATGCAGCATCCAAAATATGGTCTGAATGAACTCTGAATAAAATGGAATGCTGGTTTCTCTTGACTTCAACACTATTGCTCTTAAGGTCGTTTAGGACAGCATTTGATATTTTTGGGGAGATGCTGGGAAATATTCATTTTGTTGGCTCAGATATGGGTTCTAGTTCCCCAAGGCACCCAGATCATTTTCACAACCACTGTACAATCTCCCTAGTCCTATTGCTTCACTTTGGCTTTTATTAACCAGATGTAGATGTTTACATTTGCTCCTGCTGAAATTAATCCTGCTGGGGTTTGCCCATTTCTCCAGCTTATCAAGGTGGTACTGTCCTCTCTGACTTTGCAATTTTTATGTCACCTGGAAATGTGATAATTGTGAGCCCTCACCCGTCATCCGATTAATGTATTTTGAACAGCACCAGGGCCTAGAACAGAAGCCAGGAGCTCCACACTTTGCTCTGCCTTGATGCAGAATCAGGGAGGTAAACTCGAAGGATAGGATGGGTGAAGGGGTGTCAGAAAACCAAATGCCTAAATTTTACAAATGGCTCCTTTCACAGGACACACAAGCAAGCCCACTGGAGTTTAGCTTAAGACTTGTATAAACCTCCCTACCAGTTAATTTCAGTGTGCTGTGGTACTCAGAACTTAGGGTTAATTTAGTAAACCATATTTGAGTCACACAAACACACCAAGTAGTGATTGTACAAATAATGTAGATTTTCAAGAATTATCTTTAGACTCTACATATCTAGCATATGCTTCCCAGAATCACTTTATCAGATAAACAGCTATGAGAGAGAGTGGGGGGGGGAGGGAGAGAGAGAAAGAGAGAAGGAGGTGGGAAGGGAGGGAGGGAGAGACAGAGACAGAAACGTCCAAAGTTACCAACAGAGAAATGGAGTTGGATCTTCTTCTCTGTTCAAACAAGCACAATGTGATTTTGTTGGATTATATTTTGGGGTGGCTGTAACTGTTTTGACCTGGCAGACTGAAACTTGAGCAGGAGTTGGTCCCTTGGAGGGGTGCAGTATTCTTCCAAATGTGGAGGAGAGTCAGACACATAGTCTTCTGTCACTGACATTTAGACAGTGAACAAACTTGTGAATTAGGGATTTTATAAAGCAAATATTATTGATTTGATTGCAGCTTTCTTGGGAATTTGCTGCTGCTAAAGAAAATCCTGAACAGCATGTTACACATTAATGGATTTTGAAATAATAACTGCTGACTTAAGTATCTTTAAAAAATCTTAAACAGAGTGAGGTCCAGAACAGGAAGGGCATTGCTTGCTCTTCAGCTGCAGTAAGAAAAGAAGCCCAGCCAATAGGGACAGATGGAGGATTTTGGCAGACTTCTTCCTGGGAGCCATGCGAGGGTGACCTCAGAAGAGGGAGCCAGCCTTAGCACCCTTCCCAGGAGCAGTGGACAAGGGGGGCTCTCCCTGGAGGCCGCTTCGCCGGTCATGGGGAGGGCAACTCCTCCAGGGCCTGCCGCGCCCAGCCAGAAGGCCTGATGTCGGAGCATTGGGTGGAGATGGGGGCGGGAGGGGCGCTGCCTTTTTCCCTCGCCCTTTCCCTCCTTTGGGGCCGCGGAGCGACCCTTTGTTCTTTTTGGACGCTGCCCTGCCAGGGGTCCCCGCAGCCTAGTGCGCCCCTTCCCCGAGCGTGGCGGGTCGGCTGCCTTCCCCGCGGGCAGTCTCGGAGCAGCGGGCGCTCGGCGGGCGGGGGACGAGGGGGCGGAGGGAGGGAGGGAGGGGCGCGGCTCACTCTTAAATGCAGCCGCCGAGGCCAGCCCACTGCAGAGCTGCGCGGCGCCGGTGCAGAGAAGCGGAGAGGGACGCGGCGCCGCTCCATCCTCTCAGTCCCCGAGATGCCGGAGTGCTGGGACGGGGTAGGTGCCCCGCAGCGGCCGGTCGCGGAGAAGTCGCCGGGGGCTGAGGCGGGGAAGGCTGCAAGCCTTATCTCGGCCACCGGCAACCCCCACCTCCCCTGGCAGGGCGCTGGGCTGCGCCGGGTAGCGACCTTGCCACCTCAGTTCTCGGCCAGCCCTCGGAGGAGCAGCTGCCCCCCCCCCCCCTGGTCGCTCCGAGCGGGGCTTCCTGCGCAGCGCGGTTTCCCGGTTGCCGCGGGAGGGAGTGGGCGGCCGCCCTGCCGGAGGGGCTTCGGGGTCCTCTGGACAAGCGGAGCTGTGCCGATAGCCGGCGGGATGGTGGTGGTGGGGCTTCCCGGGGGACCGCGCCATCCGCCCGCGGTGGAGACGAGGCGGTCCTGCTGGGGCGATGCACGTCGGCAGCGGCTGCAGGTGGGGGCTTCCGACCTTGTCGGCGTCCTTGAAGTTCTCACTGAGGCAGAAAACGGCGCGTCAGCCACGGGGTCTGGAGCCCTTCGGTCTGAACCATTAGGAGTCCGAAGACTGAGAGGTGTTACTAAATGTTTTGCTGCAAAGGCAAAAGTGAAGATTTTGAACTTGTGGTTTACTGTTTGGCAGCTGCAGGCACAGTCCGAATACCCACCAGCCACAGGTCCCAGTCGGCAGCCGACGCTGCCAACTGCCAGCCCTCTAGTGCTTTGTGCTCTTGATTTCACAGTGGCACCTTCTCTGCCCCCACCTGCCATCCATGCTGTGGGTCAGGTGCTGCTTTTTCTGCAGCTGCCTGAGCCCCCTGGCAAGCTGCTTTAGGTTTCTTGGCAGCTCCATGTGGGAGAGGAGACCCCTCCACAGCTGTACTTCAGTGCTGAGTGCTGGTTGGCTGGATGAAGCAGGGGAAGAGAGCTGGAAGAAGGCTCAGAGTCTCTCTGCAGGAAAGGAGAACCAGGAATCAAGGGCAATGGTATATAACCCTGCACCTTGACCAGCAGGCAAACTGAGCCCTGGGAATCTTTAACATCCTTCACAATCTGTGGGTGGCTTGCTCTCGCTGGAACTGCAGGCAGTGAAGTTATATTTGTGTTTATAATATGTAGGAATATAGCTGCTGCATTTGCAGAAGACAACTTTGTCTTTTCCTGTGGCTGAGCAAGTGGGCAAACACCTTGCATTAGATATGTTTGTTCATGGTTCAATGTATGTTATGATGGTTCATCCTATGTGTACTCCGTAACCAGGGGAGTTGTGTCAATGCAGTGAAGGAGAAGCAGGTTCTGCAGAGCCATAATTGCTCATCCATGGGTGGGGGGGAGAGATATAAATGCCTGGCTATTTGCTGGAGCAATGCCTGAGAGACTCTGACTGGGGGAATGTAGGTCAGAGTAGCAGGAAGGAGGGGCATTTCTGGGGAGCTAAGAGGCAGAGAAGCTCAGTGTCTTTGGCATGCAGACAAAGGGCATAGGTTTACAGGTAGATCTAATAGTTTATGCAGGCAAGACATCTGTGCAAGCAGTAAGAAGTTCATCTGAAGGAACTCCTGGTGTCCATTGTGGCTCCTTGAGCCTGACATTGTGGAAAACCCTGCAGAGGAGATGACAGTGTGCAAAGAGCCTGGGTTGTGTAAGTGGAGCTGCTGGGCAGAGATGAACTATGGCAGCCGGAGGGAAGAATGCAGCCATCACAGTGGGTTGGGGCTGCCGTGGCTCTTCCTTGGAGTACCCGGCCTAGAAAAGGGTGTAGCAGCAGCAGCCTGGCTCCCTTCAGCCAGGCCAACATCATGTCGCCATCTCCCCCCCCCCCC